ACAGGCTTGATATTTGCGTTTACGTTTACGTTTTCATGCTTATGATTTTATGCGTAGAAACGTAAATTTGCAAAAGGGGCTATTTTGACGGCTGTGTTTACGTTTTACGGCTCGTTGTGACACCGAGGTAACGCGATAAAAATCGCGCACAGTGATCATTCCTCCACCTCCGCGAGCACCCGCAACACAGCGCACGGTGTGGAACAAAAGTTCGTTTCATGCCTGTTACAGCGCGTCTGGCTGCTACTCCCAGGACTCCCGAAGGCTGTATGTACTGTCCTTATGTAGAAGTTGCTGTATTTACGTTGTATTTACGTACCTTTTTGCGTTTTTATGCGCAAAACGTAAGAGCTAGTTTTACGTGTCAAAACGCAAATATGATCTGTGTTTACGGCATAAATAACAAGCCTGGGCGTGTATATGCGATGTACACGACATTTGTGATATGTAGTCGATAATGCATCTATCACCACTGAAGGTGCCGCAACCACTGCATAACTTTGAATATTTATGCACAACAGAGCTGCATGTTTGCCAGCGCACCTTTGCGCAGCTGCAGTTCACATGCCCATGCTCGCCTGATCAAAATGCAGTCGACAGTGCTTGTTGAGAAATCTCGCAAATCACTGTGCCGCAACGGATGAGTTGTGCATAAACGTCATGGCGTTTCTGCTGGAAGAAAACGTTGCAGTGTGCAAAGTACAGAATCCACACGAAAATGCTGGCCTTCTATTGCTTCTGGCTGTCATTCTGCACACACCCATGGCGTTGATCGCAGATTTTCTCGGCGGAGGCAGCGGCGGGCCGCTCCTCTTCCCAACCTTCTCCTTCGACTGCCTCTTTTCGTCCGGTGGCCGGATGCCGCGTTCCGTCCGCAGCGCCGTCATCAGCATCCTGAGCCCCTTCCTGCTGACGCTCTTCTTCTTCGCCTTCTGGACACTCATGGCCCTCCGCGGCGGCATGGCGCTGGAGCAGCTTCGCCGGCGCTGCATCGTCTCCGCCTACTCCGTCTTCTACGTCTCCTACGCCAGGATGACGGAGAGCATGTTGCAGTTAGTCAGCTGCAGCGACGCCCAAAGCACTCCCGATGGGGTCCAGCCTGCGGAAACGGTGGGCAGCTACTGGCTGCAAGACACGGACGTGGCGTGCTACTCCAACCAGCACCTGACCCTCCTGCTAGCTGGCGGCATCCCCCTGATTGTCGTGATGTTCACCATGCCCGTCTGGCTGCTTTCCGTGCTCATAGTGCACGAGAATCGGCTGCGCGACCCCCGCATTCTGGGCACGTACGGCTTTTGGTACCGATCCTACCGTACAGAGCGACGGTACTGGGAAATCGTCATCATGGCCCGCAAGGCGCTCCTCTTTGTGGTCATGGGCCTGCCGCATGCGCTTGGGCCCCAAGTCCAGACCCTGCTCGCCCTGGCCGTCATTTATCTCAGCCTGGCCGGCCAGCTGTGGGCCGAGCCGTTCGTGGCCGGCGGGCCTGACCTGAACAGGATGGAATTGGCGTCCCTGTCGTGCACCATGCTCGTCGTGTTCTTCAGCGCCCTGCTCACCGACCCGCAGACGTCCAAAGGCTGGAGAGTGTTCGTGTCGGTGGTTATAATCGCCCTTGTTCTGTCCACGCTGGTTTACCTGTTGGTGGCATTGACCGCGGAGTGTGTGAAGTGGATGGACGAGGCGCTGGCGGCGCGCGGGTTGGACCTGAGGGAGGGGACCGCCGCTCGGAAAGTCTGGTTGCTGGTGAAGGACAGAATGAAGCCGCGGAGGGAAGCGACTGGGGATGGGAAGGAAGACACGTCTACTTTAGCGAAGAGCCAAAGTGCGGGTGGCTTCCGAACGCGTGGACTTGACGCCCTGTCCCTGGGCATTGGACCAGAGTTTTGGACTCGTTTATCTTTACCTGCAATGGGGCGGCAGCGGTGAGTGACGATAATGGGTATTGGATCGCTTTGACGGCTTTTGGGACGCCCATGCAATAAGACTGTGAATGTGCACGATGAATGATGCATGACTGAAAATTTGATTTAAAAATGTTCTTAACCGAGATGTGCAGCACGGCCGGCTCCGGAAACTCCTTCCTTTGTTATCTTCGAGTCCCTTAGAGACGCCATTTTTCTACTTCAGCGGACCTTGCCTGATGCCACCACCGCCGCTGTGTTAAACAGCGCAGCCCGCAAAAGACGGCATCAAACCACATTTGTGAGAATTGAATAAAACTAAAACAGTTAATTATTCGCTGGCCTGATAGGCCGGCTGTGCTGGCTCATCCCGGCAGCAGCGGCCTGAAGCTAGTCGCTCCGTCTTTTCCGTGATGATCCCTTCTTGTTTCGACGCCATAAACCCCAAACCCCTGACCCACTTGCCCGCCACTTGGCCTTGTCAGCGGAAGAAGGGAACCTCACAGAAAATACAGAGTACAGTAGGGGTCCCTATATAGCACCCCCCCATAGCGCCCCCGTCTCCCAACAGTCCCCCCTGTTTGGCTTGTCACCATTTCTGTAGTACTTCATGCAGCTTCGCTGCGCAGCGGGACCTCAAGCTACTATTGTGGACACCCCAGAGAGGTGTCTGGCGGACGGACGCCGCGGCGGCCCACCGTTTCCGCGAACTGGGCATATTGACGGACGGCACGTATTCTGGGCCGTTGACCATGGAATGGGCACTCGCGGCACTGCACAGGGTCGTCTTAACCTGTGTGGGTGGGTGGTGCAAGGTGCGCAAGGTGGTGTGTTGCAGTGTCACCTCGCGGTGGGGGCGTGGGCAGCGGCCCACAATTTGCTTGGATGGTGGCCGCTGCGCCTCAACTGTTGCGTTAACATGGGGGAATGCTGGATAACGCGCAGGTACTCCATCCATAACGTGTCCCCCCCCCTGGTTATGGATATTTGCATAAATGCTCAACGTGGGGGGCCGTTATCCCCTGTTCTCTGCGGCGCGATGGACCCATGCCTGGTTGGGCGCAATCCGCATTCACAACGCGGGCAATGCCGTGCAAGTCCACGTGATGAGTTGTGACCGGCACCGTGCACATGGTACACGCGCATGATGGTCAATTTGGCATCTCAACAGGCCGTTACATAGCTGATGGGTCTATTGTGCGTCTTCTTATGATGGGGAGTGTTATTTTATGATAAAATTGCAATTAAATTCATCGAAAAAATGAAAATATGTTTTTCAGCGCCCTCGGCCATCAATATTGTGGCATCTACCGACGTGCCTCTACCATGTCCAACGGATGCAGTCCAGGCAGTCCCGCTGCAGAGCCGCAAACGCTAAAGCAACTTACTCTCTGGGGCTGACGGGCAATAACGCAGTCCTGATGTTCGGGAGACACCGCGGTTGCCTCCTTACCTGCAGGCAAAATGGGATACGGCAAGGGAACTAGGAATGGAGTCGCAGTTAGAAGCAGAAACACTCGAGTCAATGTTCAAGTGGTGGGCCCATGATACGCCGCTTTACACGGAATGTTTGTCTTATATACACGTCCGACTCCCAGATGCCGCGTCCCTTTGGGAACTGTCACTCCCAGAAGTACTACGAAAGAACCTTCCATGTCCTAGCGTACCAATCGCTGACAGCCAATCCGCACCACAATCCCTATTAGAGCCCTCTGCACGATACTCCCGACTCCCTGGCGCACCGAAATGATAATTCCTAGATAGCAATGATAACTCCCGGATAGCATAAAATCGTCCCTCAGTCCATAGGTTCATAATCTGATAGGTCACGGAGACTCCCAACCCGTTCTAGGTCACTCCCGGCATAGCAACGCAGTACTCGTTCCATCATATGGTCGTCCCAACACATTGGTCCAACCATCCCAACCTTTAAGGTACATTAACTTAATGTTCCTCACCCGGCCTTGATGATCCACACCCAGCCTTGACGATCCGTTCCCCGGCCTTTACGCTCCAGTCCCGGAAGAGGGGTGGAAGTAATGTGAGTCATCATCATCGGTGCCACCACATGGTTTCGGAGCGTAGACGAAGTAATTCCAGAGTCAGGGTTTAATCCAGCAGCTCGGAGGGCTAAAAAGGGATGCAGTTTGGATAGCCATCGACGATGGTCGCTTGTTCATAAGGTCAACGAAACAAAGGAGTCAGTCACTGATTGGTCATTCCATGATCAGCACGTTCCAGTACCCATTCACTAGGCCCTGGTAGATCCAGCCCGTTATGCCCTGGCATATCATGTAAGTTACTCACAAAATAGGCGAAACATCGGGGGTACTTGAAAACTTACCACAATAGCGCCCCCATTTGTGCCACGTCACGGGGGGCCGCAAAATAGGGACCCCTACTGTAATTTAAATCTCGGGGGGCCTTGCCCGCCCTTTTGTAACGATACTTCGTTATGTCAGATTATCAATCGGGACGGTTTTGGCGCACTCAGGGCGCTGGTCCAGTCTCATCACTAAAACATTCAGACACACTCTTTCCAGGCATCCTTGGAAGTCCTCACACCGGTTTGCCAAATGTCTCTCCTTACATTAAAATCAAGCCAAATATCTTGGGTAGAGGTGGGCGGGAGCGAAAAACGAGATAGCCACAAGCTCGTTTCGCCAACCTTAAGTCCCAAGTTCCCCGTTTGCCCAGATCACTGTGAACCAGTTTTTCTACTGGTGCAAACAGCCGCTCAGTTCGGTTCCTGGGCTTCATAACCAACCGCGCCCGGATCGCCCAGGCGCTGCCCATAACTTGACCACAACTTTAAGAGTAGCGTCAAACTCTTTCTCACTGAGCCTTGGCTTTCCAAACTTGAGAACCGGCAGCGCCATCCATTTCAACTCCAAGTGCGCCAAGTACTAAAACCGTTGCTGGCCGTTCAAAGGTTCCCACCCAACGGCCCTGTACCCGATTTAAACCTATTCACTGCATTGCATTTCGTAAATCTCACATATTCTCGGCAGCAGCCGGTCTGCTTCCTGACATGTCCTGCGCTGCCTGCGGGTCTTGCATCGCTGCCTGGGCTCCGCTTCGGCTGGCCTGGGCGCAATGAGCCGCGGCTGCGCCCTGGACGAGGGCGACTTGGACGACCTGCGCTCCCTCTTTGCCGCGGACGCCGCCGGGGCCCCTCCTGACTCCCAGCGGGGCGGCGAAGATGAGACGGCGGATGGCTGCGACCGCAGGGCATGCGGCGGCGATCCCGACCCGTCGGGAGGCTGCCGGTGCGCGAGCGATTCGGGGGTGGCCTCCCGCGGCGGGCACTGCCACAGGGGCGAGAAAATCACGAACGAGACACTGAAAAGACGGCATGCGGGTATGGGGGTCGAAAATAGGGATGCCTTGAATTTTCTTGCCGATCGCAGCCAGTGTGGGGACAAGGGCGGTGGATCGGCGCTTAGGGGCGGGAAGGCATGTATGAAGTGCGGGGCAGCACCGTCGGAGGGGCGCGGGCGGCAGGGCGAGGCCCTCTGCCGCGGCTGCCTGTGCGGTTCCGTGGCCGCCAAGGTGCGGTCGGCGGTCAAGGTGAGGGGGCTGATCGGAAACGGCGACCGCGTGCTGGTGGACTGCCGCGGAGACGCGGCCTCCCAGGCGCTGCTGCACCTCCTGATGGGGCTCAGGAATCCCGATGCTGGGCGCGCGGCGCGCGGGAAGGTGAATTTTGAATTAGCGGCGGCGCACGTGGATGCTGGATGTCTGGGGGACGTCCTGGGCGGCGTGGGGCCCGGCGCCGGGGAGATGGAAGATTGGGTGAGGGCAGCATGGCCCGCGGGGGGGGAGAATTCGATCCAGCGGAGGGAGCCCGTTGATCGAGCTGGATCGATCCATTTTCTGTCGATGAAAATTGAGGAGGTTTGTGGGGCAGGAGAGGATGCCAGGCGGCGGGTGAGGAGTCTTGTGGGGGGTGTGGGGGACGCCACGGGACGGAAGGATCTGGTGGCCCACCTGAGGACCAGACTGCTGGTCTGCACGGCGGCCAGGTTGGGATTCAACAGGTTGGCCAGGCCGGACTGCGCCACGGACCTGGCGGTGGGCATAATCGCGGACGCCTGCAAGGGGCGGGGATTTGCAATGGCATCGGATGTGCATTTTGAGGATGCGAGGTTTGGGGCGCCGGTGGTGGTGAAGCCGCTGAGGGAGGTGGGGGCCGGGGAGCTGGCGATGTACTGCCACTTTCGGGGGGTGCCATATGGGGGGGGATGGGGGTGGGGAGAGGAGGAGGGGATCAACGGGCTGGCGGAGAGGTTCGTGCACGGGCTGGCGCGGGCGTTCCCTTCGGGGATGTCCAGCGTGCTGAAGACAGGAACCAAGCTGCAGAGGTTCAGGTTCAATGGCGGGAGAGGGGGAGGCGGAAGAGGAGGAGGAAGCTGGGAGGGCGGAGGTATGGGGTGCGTCCATCAGCAACTGTCCAATATTTCATTTCCAGACCGGAAGTCATCATCATCATCATCAAAATCCATTGATAACATTTGTCACAAAATGACAAAACACAGCCCATGCACCTGGTAGGCGATGATGGGCACGAAAACCAAGCAAATAGTTTGTTCGGAATCGATTATTCTTGGTCCCATGTCGCAACACTCTAGACCGGAAGTCCTGAAGTTGTGAATTCGTGAAGTCATGAAGTGATGAAGTTATGAAGGTGATGTAGGTCAATTGGGGTTTATAGGGCGTTTGGGATGTTTTAAGGGTGTTTGGTCCTTGCTACCGTACATGACCTTCATGACCCCTTCATGACGTTCATGACGTCTGGAAATGATAGGTATGGGGCAATAGGAAGGGGACTGCTGCTGTCAATGAGCTGGAATGTGGCCCATGGGGTTGCAGACTGTTCTGGGCTGTGCTGGAAGTTATGGGCCTGAGAGGAAGTGGAACTTGTGTACTTCTTGATTGCAATAGCTGGTACACAAAAAAAATTGATACTTTTGTTAAAAACAAAAGTATCATGGGCATGATGCAATGCTAATCATTTGTTCCTCAGTGTTCTGTTTTCACTGTGATGACTGATCTACTCAATTGCCTTGTTGGCATTATAACATAAGCCAGTGTCTTGTCCTTGATAGGGGCCGCCTGGCAAACCCCAACACCGACCATGTCATGAACACACTTGCTTGCAATCGCCCTGTGCGGATATGTACCTTACTTCAGCAGCAGTAGAATCAATAAAGTGTTCGCAGAAACTTTCAACTGCTGCTTGAGTGGCAACATGAACTATGGATCATGGGCATTCTGCTGCTTGTGGATATGACCAAGGAAGAATGTAACACAAATACAGTCATGCCTCCTGAATTGCATCTTCTAGATATGACTGAGGAAGAACGTAGCACAATGACAGCCGTGCCTTCTTGTACCCAGTAATGGGACTTATGCTGAAGGCTATAGGTATGCCGCTTTTGTTTGCTTGTACGTGCATCTCTGAACAACAAATGCGCCTCATTGATTGTTGCACCACCAGCCATGTAACATACTGTGAAACGTGCGATCATCATATCTTGCAGTCGTGCCTGTCTCCGTGACAATGGCACCTTGACCTAATGGGAGCCAACAAAACTGCGAATGGATTATGGCCCTGCACCACACGTTGTGAATGGGTGGCACTACAGTCGCTGTAACTGTGAATCGTAAGGTCACCCATTCACAACGCGTGGTACAGGGCTGTAATCCATTCGAACTGTTTGAAAGATGCAATCAGAATGGAAAGACGATGCCTCCACAATTCCCTAGGTCTAACTGGAAGAACTGCTTATCCCAAAGTCGCTCTTACCCTTGCTGCAGATGGCTCGGTCGCTGCAGGAGAGACTGCCATTCAGCCTGGTAGCACATCTGGCCATGTAGCCGCCCCTCTTTGCGGCCTGTGTGCTGCACCCATGTCCGATGGTGAGAGGTCCTGCCGCCCTCCACCTGGGATCCCCAAACCCGCCGAGGGCTGCTGGCGTTCTGATGGCACCGATGCAGCAGCTACTGCAGAGGACTCGTGCGCACCGGGCGCATCATGTGAGGATGGATTTTGGTCGGGCAAGTTTTGCTCGAGCTGCTGGAATCAGATCATTCTGAGGTATCAGAGGCGACAGCCTGCTGACGTTGTTCGGCGAGAAGACTTGTGCGACTTGCGAGTGCTGATAGAAGGCTTGCTGCCTCTGCCCTGATGCTGGGGTCAGAGATCTGGAAAGGAGTTTGATTGCTGTAGATGGAATGATTTATTGAGATTGGGGTTGCAGGAACAGTAGGCAAATAAGTGCATGTTGTTAGGGGAAAGAAAACTATCGCTATCCACAGAGGGAAGGGCGGTGTAATTCAATGATGTAGTGTAGCTCTGGTCCGATTGCAGTTGCGAAATTTGTCAAATTGGGCTCTTGACTCTCCCAGGGTTGTGAAGGGCCCATTTTGTGTCCTCACGATTCTGTCCTAGTTGCGGTCTCCCGAGCCTCCATTCCAGAACCAGTATTGTGTTCACGCAATGCATTGTATGGCGGATGGAAGGGATTCGGCTCAGTTGGTTTCACTCATCCAGTTCACCTGTGTGGATGGCTCGAGTCCACGAGCTCTGGTGGCAGAATAGGACGCAGCAACCACCGTTAAGAGCAAGGTGTACACCACGAACACAAGATTTGCAACCGATTTTCACTGGGTTGCAAACGCCAGTAACGTTGACTAGATGTGGGTAGAAACAACAGGCAGTGGAGGCGATAAAGGTGGCTCTAAAAGCATGGTGTACCCACACGTCAGCAGCAAGATGGCTCTAGGAGCAGGGCGAACGCAATGAACACAAGATTTGCAAGCAATTTTAAATAGGTTGCAAACGCCAGTAACATTGACTGGATGTGGGCAGAAATGGCAGGCAGTGGATGTTTCATGGAAAAATAACGGATGCTGCTGTTCTCGGTCGAAATGGGGAGTCGACGGCTAGTAGCCGTTGGCTACTTCCTTTGCACCATTTCTTGGACTGATCCGAATTGAAACGGGGGCTTCTTAATTGTCCTAAGGTGAGGCCCTGCAGCCAGCCTCTCACCCTCACCGTATCAACGCGTGACGTGCTTCGTAGCGCTCTCGCCCCGATTGCAAACGTATTGGATCCGATGTGGAGCAAATGCCCTTGGGTGCCCGAGAACGAGTCCATCTCAACGCTGCCTTGGGATGAGGAACGTGACCTCAAACTGCTCCAGTGTGTGGGTTGCCAAGTGGCGGAAGCTCGGATGCGATAGCAATTTTGCCGCTTCCTTCACATGGGCGTGCCTTGACTCTTCGTGTCTCTTCTGGAGGATAGTTGGTGAAGAAAAGGGGCAAGGCCCCCGCTGGTCTTTGCCCAAAACACACTTCGCGTTGCGTTTGGCGCCTGAGTGCTTTAGTCAACACCGCTGCGCGCTTCCTTTGGACTCAGCCTCACTCAGGCTAGTCCAGTCACATCTCAGTGCATTTCCGCTCCATCGCCAATCTTACATGGAATCCGATAAGCCAACCTTCGCTGATGCAGCAGTGAATCATGAATGGAGCAACTGCACATGAATTGGATGAGCGTGTACAGACTTGCTGCTTGATTGGCTTTTCCCCAGCCGCTTGTGCATGAATTGTCGCGATCACTGTCAGTCAACCAGCCACAGAAACAAAACTCCACCGACGGAAAGGGGCTCGCAGTGCCCACTTTCGCCCAAACGCGTCATGAACCCCCCTCCACGGAAGCCTAGTAGTAGTAGCGGTTCCAAGTCGAGTTTCAAAGCCCCTATTCCTTCCCACGCTTCAACATCACAATACCTAGTCAGTGGAGCCCTGCTTCCTCATGTGCGACACATGCAATCCCCAAGCTGTTAAAGGGTAAATCACGCGGGCCCTCCACCCGGCGCCAGCCTGTTGCGCACCTCCTCCAGCGCTTCGGCAATTTCTGGGAAGCTGGGCCGGTCCGCGGGCGACCTCGACCAGCACCGCTGCATGAGCTGCACCCACCTCCCGTCGCAGTCCTCCGGTATCTCGGGCCGCATGATTCCGGACAGCGCGTTGCTGAAGATCTCAGTGCGGGTCAGGTCCGGGTACACCTGCTGGCCCATGGTCCAGATCTCCCACAGCGTGATGCCCATCGAGTAGACGTCCACCTGTCAAGAGACGGCCGGAAAATCAGCCGCACACAAACTCTAACAATGAAGCAGAGTAAAATCCCTCACATCCCTCAAGACTTCGCAGGAAATAGGAACCTAAAGCTAAGCAAGCTTTCTGAAATTCCTTAACACAACATTCCGTGAAAATTATACTGCCTAAACTGAAGTTCCTTGGATGAAACCTGCCCGCAGCGGACAAAGCCGAGTATTCAAGGGTCCGCTTCGGCCAGAGCCCTTGCTGGCGGTCCGAAGTGATGGCCTTTGGTAGTTCACGAATGTGCACTCAAATGGGAGCCGGGGGGCATCGCGCTGAGGGTCGTTCGGTTGTGCGGTGGTGAGTACACGCTGGCAGAATACAGTGTATGCGCCACCATACCATTGCCTATCCTATCCAGGATAGAATAGGCAAGGAAGCTATTGAGGTGACATCCATCCCCTGCGACCAGGCTTTTGCATTGCCGGTCACATCTCCTGCATCGAAACGCCGGTGCTCACCTTTTCATCCACCCTGTCCAGCACAGTGCCCACGTTCTGGGTACTTTCGTAAACCGGAAACAACTCTGGCGCCATCCAGGGCAGCTGAAACACGCAACACACAACGGTGACAAATGCCTTCAAACATCTGATTGCTGCTGGCTTTTGCTTTAATACCTCAACATGATTCGTGTCATAATACAGAACCCACACATCAAGCAATTATAGTGTCAACAACACTTGCAGGTGAACATGACCTGAGTTGGTATCATTGCACAAGATGTAAACAATCCAAGTTCAAAATCTGGTGCATCACCATCACGAGTTCACCACAATTGCACCATGCATAGGAGCTGTGTCAAATGGGCACTTTTGGGCAATCCAGGAGGCGCCACGTCTGTCACAATCTGTTTCTGCTTTTCTTCAGGAGAAGCCCGTCGCGTCTGCAAGAGTTCGCCAGAGGCCATCTTCCAAACCGCCACAGAATCGTTCACTGCCGCATTGTCTTGCAGCCGCGCTGAGGTCTTATCGCGTTGGGCCCGACATTAAGGGCAAAGCCTGCTGGTGGGGCATGTTCGTGAACACAGAAGGCAGCGCCAATCACATACATCATATTCTATAACGCAGCTCTGCTGGCTGAGCCACACAACGTTAACAGGGCACGGTGGTGTGACAGCGCTTCTCTAACATCATTAGATTTCAATGAAAACGGGTCATGGTTGCCGCTTTGCTCGGGCAAAATTGGAAGCTGACGGCTACCTCATTGCCTTGTTATGTAATTTGAATGATGATGATGATTATGACAGCACTTCACCAATACGGCAACAACGCGCAAGCTGCGCTTGCCACGCTTCGGTCAGGCCAACTGCAGTTACAACGGAAAAGACACCACACCAGAATCTGTCGATCCGTGGATCGCACTGATCGAAAAGAGGCCAAAAGTCGCCACCTCGGCCATCAGGCAGTAGTGGACACAAATCCATGCGCAACAACAGCAACAGTCTGCGGCTGCATGTTCTGTCGCACTTTGCCACCAGCAGTCGGCTTGTGAGAACACTGCCGCTTGCAAAAGCGCAACCACGGCAGTGCTCTAACAACCAAGCCAGTAGTAAATGTGACTGGCGCTACATTGCAGGATGCAAAGACAGGGAAAAACATAGTAAGATGGCAATCAACAACAACACCGGCAACAATTCTTGGAATCCACAAGACCCTGCGTTCAATGGGCGGCCATACCGTCCCTCGCATGTTCCCAGTGACGTAGCTGTCCAGCTTTCGTTTGGAAAGCCCCATGTCGCCGATCTTCACCACCGGCCTGGCGAGGTGTCGAAAGTCGCACAGCAAATTTGCAGCCTTCAGGTCAAAGTGGATGACCCGCCGGCTGTGCAGGAATGCCATTCCCTGGGCGATCTGCAGCGCGATCTCAGCGCAAAGGTGCCGGGGAAATGGTCCCTGCAAGCGTGGACACATGCACAGGTAAGAGGCGGCAAACGTGTGGGCATGACTGTTGATCGCGTCCGATTTCCACAGGTCACTTCGGCGGGATCGATTGATCCTTGAGAACCACCGAGCAGCAAGCCAAGAGCCGCGGAGGTGGCTAGCTGACAAGCAGATGGCTGTCCACATCTATATCAATAACGTACACTCCATTTCAATGACACGAATCCAACAGCCCCACGGCACCACGTTCCAACCTCAGGGCACAAATTTCCAACCAAAGAGATTCACCACAGTTGAGTGCAGCTTTGTCCTTCGTAGATGGCAATTGCACAGAATACCCATCTAGGCTGAAAACTAAATGAATGGAAAACACTCGAGGAATTTGCATTTACTTTCTGCCTGCAACAGTTGAACTGTGTGTACCACTTTGGTACATCCCTGATGAAGCGAATATTTCGATGCCATCAGGGCACCATGGTGTGCTGATGGGTTGCACAGTCATGAACAAACTACTTGCTAAACTTTTGTATATATTAGTCAGGAAATTCCATGCCTGCAGTTGCCTGCATGTTGCGATCGGTGAGACTGTCATGGCTATTTTGCATTTCAAGGACCCCATGAAGCTTACAATGGGGAAGCTTGCAGATGTGCAAAACCAAGTGCCTCCATTTCCCGGCTTTCTTCACAATCCCAATACCAGTTCCAGACTTTGCATCACAAACCAGGACAGGGCACGAACGTTTGGCCATACATCAACTGCTTGAACTGCTCAACATTCGAAGCCGCCTGCAAGCAGACGTCGTTTGAAAGCCCAGAGCACACTAGCTAAACCTCACTACACTTTCATTATGCCGCAGCCTGGAGTGGAAGCGAATCCCAGTTCACTGCAAATTGCTGCAAGTCCCAGTACAGTGTCAAGCCAGTCATTGTGCGTCATATGAGCAGCAGTACTCACCGCCTTCCTCTGTTTGATAAGCTGGTCTCTCAGCGATCCGTCCACCATGTACTCAAGGACCATTGCACAGCTGGAGTTCAGGGTCCCCATTCCATATATGGACACCACGCAGGGGTGACGCAGCCCTGCCATGATCTCAGCTTCCTGGGGGACAGTGAAACGATTGTAAACGAAGCATGAATGGGCTGGATATACCCTTGATGCAACGACTGAGCCATTTTCGATTGGATAGACACAAAATGAAAGAGTTAATAGAAATTTCTGAAACGACATACAAGTTTAAGCAATTCTTTCACCCCTGTCCTCTGCAAAGAACAAGTTCCATGCATTCAGCTGGTGGCTTGAGACTTCAACAGGCTGAACAACACGATCAAATACAGCACGTAGGTGCAGATGAACATGCAAAGTGTGCAATACACTGTTATGTAAACACAAATTTCTCCTCTGTTGGCCGCCGATTCCAGCTTACTTGTAAGATCATGCAAAGCAGAGCTAATACATGTCCACACCTGACGTTAGACTACGTACCGACAGTTAAACACAACGCACCAACCCTTCTCATGCTCAAGGTGGATGTTTATATCTTGCCTGGCCATATTATTCTTGTGTTTCAAGGGATACAACCCTGATAGGTCTGCACACGATCCTTTCACAATGGATCAGTATTTGCCATATAAACTAAAGCAATCGTAAGAGAAACATTACAAACACAAACAAAGTTTGGAGTGAAGCTACAAGCGAGAAACCAGACAAAATCATTTTAGCCACTGGATCATCACAAGAGCAGAGATGCAAGCGCCTTGCTACTGCAGCTCTGCTGCACATAGCTCTGGCCAGGGCAGTGCCCGTCACAGGTAGAAAAGGCCCACAATATACGATCACAATTCAAGTGTTGTCTTGCATACAATTTGCACGACTTGCGATGGATTTTGTGTAACACATGCAATGTGTATGGTACACGCAATTCAAGATCCGCGATTTCGTCACTCTCCAACACATAGTGCATTGTCTGCATGCGATTTTCTGCAGCTCAGCACTGTTTGAGAATGGACGTTGACTGTGGAAAGGGCCATCTCATGCCACTAAGTGATCATTCTCACCTTGGTGACTGCCTTCACAGTGCTGTCATCCGCCATATCCCTCATCTCCTTCACTGCTACTTCGGCCCCATGCCATCTGTACAAAGCGACACTGGCCGAAGTGCCCATGCCCAGCTCCTTAACCTGCACAACACCAGCAATTCAGCACCACTGCCATCTGTTGCATGATAACTAAATACACTACTAGTATTCAAAATTGTATTTAAGATTCCATCGAATGAAACTAAATGATACCAAATGCAAAATGAAGAGCACTAAACAACTCAAGTATTTAACCGCAGCAATCAATTAGACAGCGTTGCAGATCAACACTATTTAACTGAACACTTCAATTGTACGCAAAGAAAACTGAGCATTTTGTTGTATGCCATTATTCCAGAGCCTACAGTTCATGCCAGTGATCAAACTCCTCTTTTGGTAAGTGAGCATGTGCAGAACTCCAGCAATGTCTAGAGGCATGAACTTCCACAGATGCTTTCTGAGATACCAATACAAGCACGAATAAGCAAGACATCCAATCGAATGTAGAGGAATGCTGCAGTCTGTGCAACAGAGACGCAGCAACGGCACTGATCTGTCACCGCCTTGAGACACTGCAAAGTTGGGTATCATTATACAACAATATACTTCTGAACTTTGCATAGCGAGCAATACAATGTGTCTGGTGTGAGCCTTGCTGGCAAATAAACAAAATCAGCACTGGCTATCTTGACCATTCTACAATGTCTATACTTCCAGGTTTTGCCATTCTGTCATGTTTGTGTGGCTGCGATGAATGTTGCAATGGATGCACATATCACAGTGCATCTGTGAACAATGACTGTTTCTACAGAATCTCAAAATGAAATGTGGATCTGGGGTGTTTGCATGGAGACATTGTTCTGTGAATTTGTGTGGGTGGGGCCCCTATTTAGGGGGACAGACATGCGCGGCCTTGGACGTGGCCAGCTGACATTCTGCAGCTCTTAAATACATGTTCAGCCATACCACGGCGGTGACATGCACATCCTTGTCGTATCACCATTTGTAGGAAATCTTCTTCTTCTGCTTCCAAATGAAATCCACATCCTTCAGGTTCACCAGACCACAGTATCCACCCAACACACAAAAGCAGACCTATGCCCTGTTAGTTACTGACCTTTATAAGCTCATCACAGTTTATCATGGGCACCAAGATTGCATCCCCTGCTCGCTTCATTTCTTCCTCAGGGCTGGACGTCTTGTTTGGCACCCATCCCTGTCCACTGCTGGTCCACTCTCCAGCCTCTTCTGGTACTTGCAACACGAGTTGGCCACGGGCGGGAATTGATGAAGATGTAGGTAAGCCAAGTACTTCTGGCTCAACTTGCTTTATGAGTACCCGCTCATTGCTTTTGCTTTTAGCACTGTCATCTGCTTCACATAACACAATTCAGCTGAGGCAGCTTGGCTGTTGCCTGCCACTTCCAATGTTGCCACAAAGGCTTGTGAATCTGCACAATTTTGCAATGCTACAACTCGCACCTTTTGCAATGCCTAATGCTGTCACACAGATGGGGAGGATTCACAATGGAAAGCCAAGGAAGCAAACCCCAAGACATTCCAGCTCTCCAGTATTTGCTTTGGCTGCTCGAGGCGCTAAACAGCAGGGAGGCAGCAGACATGTGCTGCAACAGCCTTTTCAAGGTAACCAACATGCCTTGGTGCATGCCAGACACTACCAAACAACATGTCATATCCCATCCACAATATGCATAGAAGTGGAAGACTGCACAGGTGTCAACAAGACAGACATCCACATGAGCTGGCCACCTTTCACACATCTGTGAACTGTCTGGAAAACAAGAGCTTGACAAAAGTCCATTGACCAATTCTGGAACAATCGTACACCCCTGCACCTGGACCAGCAGACAAAATGAAACAGTGCTTTCAGCGTTGTTGTCCAATGAGGCACTAACATTCTTGCATTATTGAAAGCAAGATGACATTGTACTTGCACGATGCTGCTGCCATTCATAAGATCAGTTCCAATTTAGGACCAGAATTTTCACGCCCTTCTGAAACCCCACTTTGGCAGCAAGTTGTATGAACTACATGCTAATTCTATTCCATGGCATCTGTTTTCTCCCACAAGATCTCTGCGGCACCAACTTTGTTTGCACATCACCTTCCATCCTCATTCTTCCCTGCCTCAGCTCCTCCAGCAATGACAGATCTGAGATGCCCCTTGTGAGAGCACCCTTCGAAGCGCGTGGCTTTGCCTGGGACAAGTCTTGGTCGTCATCGCTTGCTTCCGACTCAGTGTCATCCGATTCTTCGTGCAGCTTAGGCAGTTGGGGACGTGGCTGGCTCCTGAGTGGCTGTTCTGGTACCCAGACTGGAGAGGCCGGTGAGATGGAGGTTGGAGGGCTGGGGGCGGCTGGGGCGACGAGAGCTGCAGGTTTTCGGTCTGAGGCTGTGGGGCACATGGCCATTGCCTGGTATGGGCCACAAACGAGTGCTGTTGCTTGATGTGAATGGCCACTGGAGGCAGTGGGACCATGTGGACAGAGCAACAGGTGGAGTCCAAAAGCAATCACAGGCAGCGGAAATCACTGTGGAGTTTGTTGCCAACGAGTCTAGACATGTTCTTCAGACCAACACATCGCACTACGCAGAGCCAAGATACTGTAACCTGCTGGTTTTCTTGTACCATACCATATTAACCCTTCCGTATGTTCAAATTTCGAGTTTTGCTCCGCATCTTTTTGACGGACCCCTATATTGGGGTTTCTGCATCATGGTCACCGCCAGAATGGCAACTCAACTCAGTTCGCCTCAAATATCGGTTTCTGCCACAGCGACTGGTGCGTCTGGGGCCACTAGATGCCACGAGCAGTCAAGAGACCCTCGCATTGCTGCTGGGGCTCCTCCACAGATTCTTGGTACTGCTACGTTTTGATTATTGCTCCGCATAACAGGGACGAATGCTATGTTACTATGCGGAAGGGTACAATATACTATGGTATTGTGCAAGAAGATCTGCCGCTGCTGTCAGAGCTCCCCTAAGACTTGTATCCATCAAATAATGGATATGCCATGATTCTTTGTCACTTCAAAGACAAGCTGCTGTACGATGCACAAACTCAAGAATCAACCAAAAGTTCATTGCTGTGCTCGGAAGGATTGCTGACAAACAGTACCCGTCCAATGTAATCATCTGACGTAATCTCATGCTGATGACATCCAAATGGGACAGAGAGATAATGACTGTAAGTACAACCAACTGTGGTGATACTGCATTCAAGAAAGAGGACTGTTGAAGGCTCCTTTTGGATACTTCGACAAATGACCAGCTTCTGTTCCCTTGAGACCACACAACGTTACAATGATGAGAGTAGGGGGGTATTTTTCGATGTCAACAGATGTGTGACTGCGCACGGTTGTGTCAGGCATTTCTGTTGGGTATTTTGCTCCCTTTCTTCGTGTTTTGCAACTGGGTGGTGTACCAAAGATGATGGTGGGAGACTAATCGCACACAGTTTGGATGTTTCAATGTCTGTCATCGCCTGCACTGGGCAAGGACACTGCTTGTTATGGCAATTCTGACTATTGCAGGCACAGATTTTTGTTGCATGTAGAATGCAGTCTGACCAGATGTGAGACACGATTGTACAGCTGTTTAGTCAGGATGCCTGCTTTCATTTTTACCCTTCTGTGTCCTTGCATTTCCAGCACCCTCTCCAATAGAAGCTTCAAACTCTGTCTGAACTCCAGCAGTTCTGGATCATCCTCTCTCCATGAGTCGGCCACATAGTCTTCTGCAGCCAACCCTTCCAATACAGCACAGAAAGAAACACATCTCTCCATGAGTCGGCCACATAGTCTTCTGCAGCCAACCCTTCCAATACAGCACAGAAAGAAACACATTGTTATGGCAACCATAGCCAGACACATATGCTTATATATGCTTGTTCAGGCCCTGCAGCATGTTTTTTGGCTACAAAAGGAGAAACGGAGCATACAGTTTGCCATGGGCTAATATGCAAGCCACCAACTGTTATGAAGCCCTCTTGGATGTGGACATGAAACCCTGTGGTGTTACATGCCAAGCTGTTTTCACACCCATGCTTGTGGCACTGATCAGGCGCCACAGGGAATATGCTCCACTGCTAGCTTTAGTTGGCAAATTGTGGAACACATAGCACAAGGGGATTAGTACTTCAGCCCAAATTGTTCAAGTTCTATGCTTGACTTTGATGCTTCTACTCGTGCACAGCGACCTTCAACAAAACCCCATTCAACAAACCGCAAGTGGTGAGAAAAACAGTCCTGATTCAAACAAGATGTTGGTTGAGGACTGCACTGTGCAAAAGAAGAGGGCACAGTGCAGGAATTTGGTGCTCTCAGCAGCAGAAGTTTGGTGACAGTGAAATTGGATGAGCCAACACAGCAATGTTCCTCCAATATCACTGTGTGCCAACCTGATCTTGAACAAAACGTGTGCATCCTACCAACCACAGGTTGAGAACTGACATCCTTTTCGGTGCCACCTGCTGCACAACTGCCAGGGATTTGAGCTAGACTCCAAGGACAAGAAAGCCTGCTTGTCTTTGGGCATGTTTTTCAGCCTTTGTTCAATCCTGGACCTTGGGCCTTGGGCCTTGGACCAAAAGGGCTTCCTTGAGTGCCGGTTTTCCTGCTATTCATGCCAATATGTGTTTCGTGCCATTTTCTGCTGTGTTCAGTGACGTCTGCATCTTTTGCGCTGTAGAAAGAGTCTCAGAAGAAGCAGATGTGAGCATCCACCTATTGACAAGTATCCTTAAGATGGAAAGGGTGTCTTCAGATCAGCATTGTGTGTTCTTTTGACATCCTCAGGAACATGTATGTACAGGAGGATGTGTTCGCACTCACCAGGCTCTGGATGAACTTCTGGATGGCTACGAGAGGACAGTGGTGGCGGGGTGCCAGGCGACACAGGAGCACCTGGCTGCCCACTGGAAGCTGCGGATTCTGCCCCCTGAGACACTGTGCACCCCTCCTGCTCTCCAGAACTGCCTGTCGATGGCTCTACAGAGCTGCTTGTCGATGGCTGTGGTGAAGGTGCTTGTGGGGCACACATCGCTTCTTCCATCTTGCCAGAGATGGGCCGTCCTGATTCTTCAGGGGAAGGAACGGCTAAAACCTGCGCTGCCAGTCCTGTTTTCAGCTCTTTGTCTGAAGCAGTAGTCTGAGTGGATAGAATGGTGCCCATGCACCACAAGATGTCATTTAGACTTTTGCACCAAGTTCCCTATCATTTCTGGTGCACTTAAATCCCATCTGTCAGCACATTTCAAAACTATTTCACATCTCAAACATCGCTTCTCCAAAGAAAAGGAGCAAAGAAATCATATAGAAAGGCGATGTGATGTGAACAAGCAGAAATACGTTGGCAAGGGTCGGAATATATACTGTTCAGCTCACGATATTGTTTCTTGCACAATTCAATGTGTCCATGAAAACATCGAAGCAAGCCCTTTGGTTGGTAACAGTTTGTCGAACTCTTCTCCAATTAGAGGCCAGTGTGAATGACAACTCACACAATCTTCCAGCAACTACGTCACAACACATTGGCTGTATGCGCAGTCCTTGCTAACAGGAAAACTGCATGGCGATTCTCCTCGGACTTTGGACACTGGGTGTCAGGGATACCCTGGCCAGCAGGGGCCTCCTGAAACACCAAGGAGGTCCACCACTGGTTGGTCCGCCAAATCGCAACCGTATCTTATTGTGGGATCTACAGTCAAGAGGGGGAAGTATCATCAAGAATGGCTCCAGGATGCGACGGTGGGGCTCACTTCAGGCTCCTGTCCCACAGACGAAGGAGTATCCATGTTGGAAGGCGTCTCCCCAGCCTAGTCCAGTACAGATGAGTCAGCTCCTGGGCGATTGTGGCACGAACATGCATCCTGTTGGGTGCGCTATGCTTTCAATAACACATGACACAATCTATGACAGCTGCAGGATGCAAAGGTGGGCCCCACCTCTGGCTTCTGTCTCGCAGAGGGAACATCCTCGCTGGCAATGGGATCGCAAACCTGGAACAGCATCCATGTGCGAGTTACTGGGCGGCTCCGAGACGACCTGCATCCTGCCAAGTGTGATGCCAATGGCGCCATTTACATTGGCAGGTAGTACAGTAAAACAGCTGTACATTAACATATATATTTCATTATACATGATTGTACACTGATTTACAGGTTAAATGTGCGCGGAGCACACTCTGCAACATCTCTCATTGTGTTTTCCGCTCTCTCGCACACAGCCCCCACGTGGTTCTCGCTAGGACCCGCATCAAAGTGTGCTGTGTTTTTGAACAACGGGTGGCACCATCAAGGACAGCTGCAAGGGCAATAAACAGGCATACCTCTGCCTCCTGACTTGCAGTCGACTGAACATTATCCGCGGCAGGGGAATCACCAAGCTGCAGACACACCGATGCGTCAGTGCCTGGGTGTGTCCCATGCACAGGATTACGCCATCTTGCACTGTGATCTGGGCAATAGATGCAACCATTTATGGCAGCTGTCAGTTGTCATGATGGGGCATTGCCCTTGGCGTGTGTCGCACAGCTGAAGGAAATGTATCTTCAACATGAGCATCACGAATATAGAGCAGAACTGATGAGTCAGTTGCTGTGCAGCCCATTCACCAACGAGTGTCCAGCAGTACACGCTTGGGTTTTTGATGATATGGACGACGACATGGAACAACAACATAAAATGGAACACAAATTATGAAACAGTATATTGGACTCGCCTCTGGCTGTAATCTAACAGCAGAAGGAACAGCATTGTCAGCAGGGACGTCCTTGACCAATTCTGCTCCTGCCACCTGCAAACAATTGAAGAGCATGAGCTGGTTTCTGTCTTTGTTGAAAGTGGCGTCAGTGGTGGAAGGACCCTTGATGCAATCACACCCACACTGGGTCTGCCACCAGTCAGCCGTTGACTGAATAATTGAAATTCCTGCATGTGATGTTACATTTCATGCATGACTGTGTTGAGGGGGAAGAAATGTCAACATCATCGGGGCAGCTGCACATCAAGACCAGCGTTGAATTTGCTGCAAAAAAGGCAGCATATTATTGGGCACCGCCATTAGCTGTCCGTTACCATTGTGCAACTCCAATGTTGGAAATCCAACCACTGCACACGGAATAAATTCTGGGAAAAAGCTTGCAGGAGGTCACCCTGCAACTTGACTTCTCAGCTCAATCCACCAGGACTGGCCTGGTTCTGTATGTTTCAGAGGCACAAAGAACATCCACAAACACAATCACTCCTGCACAGCTACTCTCAATGCCAATCAACTCGAAATGACATCCGACTGTGGGATGCCTCTGAATCTCAAGTGAGCTTCCTTGTGCAGCAATACATTACCAACAGGTACACAACAGGCATCTGTAAGCCACGCAATGAGTGCTATTCACCACGGCTCAGTGTGCAGGACAGCATCAGAGGTGGCAGCAAACCCTTTTCCCACACGCCGGGCCCTTGTGCAAAACTGTCCAAGCCCTGCAGGACCTGTTTTTGTAGCAAATTCGTGGCTGTTGGCGACCCTATACAAAGCAGGTATTTGCATTACTCTGGAGAGTTCCCCAGTGACTGCCGGGGCGCCAAAACATCGTCACGTACATCCCTCCACATTTCCCTTCAAAGGATTCCATAACACTGCAACCCTGCGGGCCTACCAGTCAGGACCACCCTGGCCCATATCAGAGCAAAAAGCGCCCAGCCAAGTAGCAGCCAACAGGGCGCTCTGTAGAGCACGCAGAGACAACCGGCTCACCGCTGGTTCCTGCTTCTCTGCATCACCTTGCTCGTTGGGTTCTGCTTGTGTTGCTTTCGGTTTCCTACGCCATGCTAGCTTTTCTCTGATACGAGACACTCTGGGGATCCGGCGGCCGACGGGTGCCAGGCAGTTGCCCTGACGATCACACACCCCAAGTGATGCGTGGCAACCCGTCATGAGTGGAGACAGCCATCGTCTGGCCCTTGAGTTCGCAATGGTGACTAACAGATGGTCAGCGTGCGACAACATCCAGACACATGCAAAAGGAGTCATGCCATGCAGCACAATCTTAACAGAATTGGTTGCAGAACCACAGGTAAAATTGAAACTGACTGCAAAACCACAAACAAATTGAAATTGACTGCTGAACAGCAGTTCCACCCAATCCTTCCAAGCAGACACGGCGTGCGGCTCAATGCCAAGGGGCCCTGGGTTGCTGCGTTCAGGCATCGCATTGCATCAGCGCGCAGGCTCTTCGGCAACCGAGCCACGGGCCACACCAGTACTTAGCCCCCTTGGTGGGAGGCGACAATTCAACCCAAACGAATGCCCTCCGCCAATCGGGCGCCTCCACGCGCCTTCATTACGTGGGTGCAGAGTCATGCCCACCATTCTCAGCCCGGCAACGCGATCCCCTGAACGGAGCGCCGCGGGACTCGCTTCCACCTGCAATCGCACCAGCGAGAGGGCCGCCCTCAGTCGGTCACGCCTCCCCACTCGACTCTAAGCGGCACCCCCGCGCCTCCAGGCGCCCCTCACAAGAGCCCACAGGTCATCTTCCCTTCCCCCACGCTCCTTGTCGCTCCACCCGTATCTCAAAATCCATCAACGGACAGCCCGGAGCGGCTCCGGCAGCTCGCTACGGAGAACCAGGCCAACGACCGAGGTCCCCCACGGCCGCAATAGACCAGAAGTTCCCCAGGCCCCTGCAGATGCCTGCAAGGCGGCTTGCGGCCAAATTTGGGGCCCATTAATTCGTGGCCGGGCCCCACGGGATGCCGTCAACGCGCCGGGCGCGTTGAAGGGGCCCCGCCGCGCCTGATCTGGTGCGGCATCGCGTGATCGACCCCGCCTCTGGCGTCCGCCGCCCCCCCTCCGCGCCTCCCGGGATGACCCCCCCTCGATGCGGGCCATCATCGCCTGGGCGGGCGACTGCGGGAGATCCCCCCCCGCCCGCCCGGCCGTCCCCCTCCGGCGAGCCGGCGGTGTGACCCGCAGACAAGTCTCATTCCCGCCCCCCGCGCCGCAATCAAGGGAAAAGAAGCGCGTCCGTACCGCCGAGCCCGCCGAAGGCCCATTTTCCGCGCAGAGCCCCGCGGTGGGCTCCCAAGTCGAGAGCCAGCATCCCAGAGATTGTCGCCAGGCTGGCGTGGCCCCACCTCTTGTCCAGATGCCTAGCGAATTTCCACCCTCCTCTGGCCGCCCGGATCTGGACAGGATGGGTTCCCCGGTCCCACCCCGGCGGCGCCGCCCGGTTTGTGTCTCCGCGCCCGCCCGAGGGCCGCGCAACTAGAGCTGCGGCCTATTCCGCCCCCCCTGGGATCCCCACCGGCAGACTGCCCCGGATGCGGGGGAGCCGGATGGCGGATAAATTGGGGCTCGACGTCGGGTCAGGTTCGCTCCCGGCGGCCAGACGGCTCCCGGACGGTGTGTGCCCGACGTATGCCCACCCGCTTGACGGAATCTTCTGCAGGGCGATTTTTGCCCTGGTACGTTGCCGAAAAAGCAAAACTGCTTTTTGCACGGTTTTGACACCCTTCTTACAGCATGTCAGGAAATGTGCTACACTCGAAATTACTACACAGCGCTGAGCCTTGTACCACAGTTTCCGAAAGGAAGGTGCAATAGAATTGGCGGTGGTTTTGTGTCCGAATTGGCAGTTTCTGAGCGAAGTGTTTGCCAAAATACCGGCTCAAACTGCCTACAGGGACGCTGATTTGGGCAGTGTCCGGCTGGAAAAACACCCTCTGAGCCTGAATGGGACACGCAAAAGTTTGGTTGGCGCAGTTTTTTGAGTCTGAGCTGATGATTGTGTCCGAATTTGGATGCTTGAACGCAATAGACTCGAATAGGTGGCTGACAAAAGCTGGAGGGGAACCCTATTTGGACAATTGCTGTGGCCAGAAACGCTGGAGTATGCCCCACCTTTCTGCGCGAGCTTCCCACTTATGGGAGTTGTTCAGCTGCATGGCGAGAGCCTACTTCCACCATGATGCCAGGCAAGCGCTGTCGTCGGTGTTAAGGAAATCTAAGGGGGTAATTATTTCCCGCTTAATTTCCATCATTACAGGAAGTGAAAGACCATTATTGAGGTCACTAGCAAAACTGGAACGTTTGGGCACTTGGGCCTAGAGGTGGCCACCCGGATCCGTTAATAACGGACGAGGGTGCCGTCCGTTAAATATCCGTTAATTTAGCGGACCCCGCTCTCTCTCTTGCTGACGCGGCACGGATGGCAGCGGACGGCTGGTGCCAGTCAGCGGACTCTGCGGATTCCGCTTGGGCGTTAACGGATATTTTCCAACGGACCGGAAGCCGCGCACCCCATCCGCTAATTTAGCGGATGGCAGCGGACGTGTGCGCCGAATCAGCGGATGACA